TGTCGGGTTTTTCATTAAATCGCGTTTAAGAAGTTGTTTATAAGTCTCTTTTGCGCTGTCATGATCGCGACGAAGAGCTAAATTATATTCTTTTTCACATTCCCGGAACTATTGAACGAATAAAATCAAAGTCAAAAACAGCATAGTACGATCTAGTAGTAGTTGTGGAAAAAAATGATTTAGCTACCGGTGCATCGAGAGGATCCACCAATATCTGGGCCTGCGAAGGAGCAGCGTCGGCATTTAAAGGGGTGAATTGGATCATCTATTTGAAATTTGATGAATAAAGATAAGTTTTACACATTATCAATTCATAAGGAAGACATTAATATGATTGGCTAATTGAACCACGCTAGGTAGACCACGTGAAGGTTGACCAATTAAGTAACGTAATTTTAATATCGATACGCGCAAATAAATTATCGTTATCTACGATTTTAAACTTTACTATTCATTTGTAAATCTTAAATCCTATTTTTATTTTCCGTCATTATTAGATGTAGGTTAATCATAGCATATAAAGGTCTAACAATCGAGGGCTCAGTCATATGATCTCCCGACCTTACAATTTTCCGAAAAGTCGAACTGGTTTTGTTTTTGAGAAGGAAGGTTTCTTAATTGTTTTTTAAGAATTATGTTAGCCTTAAGATAAATAGTTTAAGCATATTGTAAAGACAAACTTTGATTACTGAATCAATAATCCGTAAAACTTGTATTTATAAATGATATATCGTCATACAGTATAAAATTCACTATTTTTATGTCTATTATGCTTTCCAAATTCAATTAATATAAATTTAAAATTTTACAGGTCATTATGTTCAGGGTTCATTATAAAAAGTTCGGTATAGTGGGCTTTGAGTCTGAAAAAAAGATTGTAGAGGTCTAAAATATACACCACCAAGCATTTGCGTGTATAATATATACGTAGTTCTGAATTTTGCCAACGAGTATACCTAAAGCTGCAGCAACTTCAAGCACAATATACTGTATACGTTTACATTAGTAATTGATTTTTTCAACTGCAATTAGCTTGAAAGCAAAAATTAAGAATGTGTATGTAAAAATTTTTTGGTATATATAAAATTGAAGTTCATTATTAAAATAAATTGATATAACAAAAAAATATAAACATTGTACAGTATTCAGTTATTTAATACCTGACATAGTATAGGGACACGGAAAAAATGCGATTTCATTTAAAGGACCTATAGTCCCTGATATAGTATATAAATAATATTTGTGAAAAGGTTTGCATTATCGTTTTGTAATATATTTTTGCTATAATTCTTCACTAATAAAAGTACTTTAATGTATATAAATCTTGTCAATCTCATTAACGTTTATTTGTCTCTTTTGTCGCTCTTATCTGACTCTCAATCTCAGGAACTGAAAACATTAACATAAAACCGTATAAATATATAAAAAAAAAACCATAAGATGTGGCCATAGGAATAGTGTTCCAAATCATCAACTAATTTGACAACTTCCTAACTAATTGATTTAAAAAAAGAAATTGATGATTTTCTGATTTCCGATTTCTTAAATACTGTATTTTTTTGCAGAAATAGAAGTTGTAGATTCATTATTTTGTAACATACTTATTTAGTATCTTTTGTAGAAATATATGTAATTTGCACAATCTTCTGTTGTAAGAACACAGTCGTCCTCCTCTACAGTCACCTCCTATATAGTCACACACTCTTTATTATAGGCACTATTTTTTATGCAATTTATTTATTAAAAAAAACTTCATATAATTAAAATTTTATAATCACATTTTTTTATATAAAACAAATCGCGCGATTAGAGGAGGACTGTATTATTAAATTTTGGTACTTTTTTAGCCGATAAAATTTACTATTGCATGATGAGCAAGAAAAAAATTTAAATCAAATTCGATCTTATAAGAATTATTACATGATTCTAGAAAAAATTAATTTGGCTATTACTAAAGAATCATGAAATTTCAAAGCAAAAAACATAAGCAACTTCAATATGGGGGTTTTTTTGGAAATACCATAAAATATGGAAAATAAGTACAGCACCCTACTTTTTTCAATTTCAGATTAGCGGAAATAGCAATAAAATCTTTAATCAAGTTATTCCCGTTAATCTGAAATTGAAAAGTAGGGTAGAGGGCGCTGTGCTTATTTTCCATATTTTACGGTAAGCTATGTCGCGGCTGATGCTGAAATTTTGACTTATTTTATTATGAAATTTTAAAATTTTTTAGGCCTTTTGTTAGTTTTTTTTGGGGTTAGGTTAGGGTGTTGTCAGTAAAAAAGCATATGTGAATTTTAGTAGGTATTATAGATTTAAATGGGACCTTAAATTTCAGCATATCCTTGACAAGTTATATTTAAAATTACTGCTAAAAAAACTCTTAAAATACTAATATTGATTTTACATTTTGGAATATGCAATAAAAATTGCATATTATACCATAAATCCAATATAAAAATTTTTTTGAATTTAAATAAATGTGTGGATTATGCTGAAATTGGATCATGCGGAAATGTCGGCCCGAATTATAAAAATCTTTGGGTCAGTTGGCCCGAATTATGATTTAATTTTATATTATATAGTAAATATGAAGTTTTTTCGCTTCTGTAAAATATATAGTACAATTTTTTTAGAGTTAGGGTTAGGGGTTTTATTTTTTATTAAATATTTTTCATATAGCTTAAATAAATTTTCAGTATAATCCCTCAATAAATAAATAAATAATAATAAACTATTAGAAAAGGTAATGTCTGATAAAGGTTTTCTAACATAATATCTTTGAAAAATATTTAGTTCTTCAAAACTATATAATTTAAGTTCAACTTTAAATTAAAAAATAAATTTCATATAAATATTTTAATTTATTGATAGATTTCTGAGCAATACTGTTAGTTCACAATCATCCGTTAAAGGATTGAACAACTTGCGCGAGACGAAATTTTTTTCAATCCAGTTGTGTCAAAAACCAATCATCACTAATAAATGTCGCGGCTGATGCTGGACATTTTAATTATTTTAATATGAAATTTTCAAAAATTTTTTGGGCCTTTTGTTAGGGGGTTTTTTTTAGGGTTAGGATAGGGTTTAATGGTAGTTTTAATAATAAAAGAGTATAATTGGATTTTAGTAGGGTTTTTATTTTTAAATCAAGGTCCCTAATTTCCGCCGTTTCCAGCTTCAGCCGCGACAATAAATGGGGTCTTTGCCTTGAAAATGACCTTACGGTACATGATACCGTAGGGTCATTTTCAAGGCAAAGACCCCAAATTTCTTAATGTTAATTATATCTACTACATGAGCTAAAATTTTTTCTTTAAGGCCTAACCAATTCCAGAATTGGATAATATACCTTCAAAAGTTATACTATAAGTGTACGAGAAGCTTTACAAGCACAATTAATGACACAAATAGGTAATATAAATCGCTGCAAATGTAAAATGGCAAAATTGCTTGTGGAAGTAGCTGTTATCCAAATAATCGCGCTTGTAATAATTAGTATATGTTTAATTGAATTCAAACGCTTTTAATTTTAAAATTAATATACGCCAGTGTTAACTTTAAGTTAGCTCGAAATTTTTTAACGATTTGAGTGAATTTAAATTTTCATTTCAACTTAAATGTATTTATGTTGATTCTAAATCTATCAAGGTTTCATTCCGACGTACAACATAAACAATAAAGTTCATTAATAAAATAATAGTGCAAAAATATGAACAATATGTTCAGATAATATAGTAGTTATTTAATATAATATATAAATAATATTCGAGAAAAATTTTGGATCATCTCTTTGAGATATCTTTTTGCTATAATCCTTTACTAATAAAAATACTAATTTCAACGTAAGATAAGTCTTGATCCACAAAACAGAAGGCCCAACAATAAAACAGAACAATAGCTCCGAACAAATATCATATACAATGTATGATCTTCCAATAAATAAGAATTATAATCATAATAATACTCATTACATTAGAAATAACCAAATTGACAATCAGATATATATAGAAAAAGAAGTCATTATATATAGTTGCTTTGTACGCATGCAGCAACATTAAACCAAATTTGTAAAGATAATTCTATAATCGAAATTATGGAACAAAATTTAATAAGATCCTCTGACTTAATAAATCTTGGTCGATTAACATTAATATATACAGCAAATGGAGTTAGCATAGTGCACATCAAATCAAAGATTGATTCAGAGTCGATTCTAAATTAACTTTAAGAGCATCGACTGGCCTTAAAAACACAAATAATATTACTAGTAGGAATTTTACATATTGGAAAAGTGATGACAAATTCGACCAAGAAAGTGTTTTAATCCTGATGATTAACAGTAGACAGGAAATGGTGCATAGATTGAATGTAACTACGATATTTTCGCGAATAACGTTCAACATGGAGCTTACAAAATCCGTGAATGTTCTGAAGACAGTAGCTTATAAAATGTATATGTTAAATTTTAAGGAAAAAAATAGAGCTTCGAAAGTTAATCTGAAATTTTAAATTTCTATAGACAATTACACCGCATAGATTTAGATGAATAGACGGCTTATTATTGCAACCAAAAAAGGAGACACCAAGTACATCACGAAGTTTGATTAAAAAATTATTAACGTTAAGGTTAGGGTCCGTATTGGCTAAGATTAGAAGAAATTTTTATAGGTTTAAAAATATGTACTTTTCGTATTTTGCATTGTCGGGCTGATTCGTATGCAACAGAAAATCTCTTGCAAATAAACTAGGTAAAGATAAGGTTAGAACTCATAGTAGGACATTCGTATGATTGGCTGATATAAATCAATTGCCCGGGTAACTTATTTATACACTTTAAAGTACTTTTTGAGAACGTAACGGTTCACTAATAAAAAATCGCCACCTAGCTTTAAACGAATGTTAATATTTACTGTGCAAAAGAATCTCAAAAAGATCTCACTCCTCGCGGACTTTGCTTAGAAGACAAAATATATCATTGTCCTATTGGATCATGCGAAATTATACTTTGGATGAAAGTAACTGGAAAAGTTTTCGTCTAAACCTACTTTATTATGTTAGATTTTAACCAAAATTTTTTACTGTTTAATTTGAACGAGTGCAAGCTCTTTGTAAAAGAAGAATCGGATTTAATGTTTAAATTTGGTCGGTTCCTCTAGTGTGCTTGGGTTTATCAACCGTAAATCAAAGTTTGAGTTTATCTTGTAGATCAATGTCTGAAATTGGATTTTTACAGAGCAATCCCCAAAACTCTTAGGTCGG